TAATGAAAAGAAGGTGAAGAACACAGCTTTTCTTCTTAAAATGTCCTGAATCCTTCAAGGTCAGAGGAAGGAATAATTTCTAGTTAGGGTCAAGACCAACTACACCCAGCTGTCAACTAAGTGAGCCTCAGTTTCCTCATCAAAAAAGTGGGAATATTGTATCCACAACTCACAGGCTTGTTTTAGAAATTATATAAAGATCAAATAAGCAAATATAAATGTCTGGCACACAGTAGGTGCTCAGCAAATACTCCTTCTCAAACATGGAGCCACACACAGCCCTTAAAAAAAGTCTAGGTAACAAAGGATTCTCAATCTGGGGGAGAAAATAGGCAGCTGATGAAGTCTCTCTCTCCAATTTCACTTCTAAGAGAGGAACTCGCTGCCCAGAGCCCAGGATGGTCACAGATGCAGAGGACAAGGAGCCAAACGCTGGCCTCCCACATAGGTTCCAAAAAGTGTGAGCGTGGGGTTATATAACCTGTCCCTGAGGCACCCATCTCCACTGACGTGTTTTCACCAAACATTCTTTGAAAGGGATCATGTGAGCTGGGCTGTAAGGTAGCCTAGGGAAGGGAAAAGGAAGAAAGGTAGGGAGCTGGAGACCCTTGGGGATGGGGTGGGATTAACGAGAGGGTACCACATTTACTGAGCTTCTACTACATGCCAGGCACTGGGCTCATTCTATTAGCTACCTAGATCCTTGCCATAAATCTGAGAGATCAGGTATTGCCACTCCCACATTCCAAGAGAAGAAAAATAACAATAATTAATATCACTAACACTTACATAATGTTGACTGTGCACCAGGTAGTGAGATAAGCACACATTTGACCCTCTAGGCAGCCCATGACATGGGTACTATTCTGATTCTCATTTTATAGAGGAGGAAACTGAGACTCAGAGAGATGAAGTAACTCCCCCAAGGTCACCCAGCAAGACAGTAGTAGAGCCAGGATTCAAATACAAGCAGGGTTCCAAAGTCCTTAGACCTGTATGAGGACACTTCCCAGGGGGTTTGTGGGGGTGGATCTGGAATGTGACCCCAGCAGCAGTTGTCCTCACTTGCCCATAGCGGGGGCCCAGTGTGGGAGTGACATAAGTGGCGTCACCAAGTGATCAGAGGCTCTCCCCCGGGACAGTTTGTCCCAGCTTGTGGCTGTTTGTCATTCTGCCTCTGACCTCAAGTTTAAAATTTCATTCATAAGTTTGGAATCGCAAAATTGGCTGCAAGAGAAGGGCCCTTAGAGATCAGCTATTCTAGTCCAACCCCCTCATATTACAGATGGAAAAAAACCCTGAGGTCCAAAGAGAGGCACACACATAGCGAGGTCACAGAGCAATTTTCTGCTAGGAGGAGGAGTTGGTTTGAAGTCAATTACAGATAATCTTGTGGTGTAATTACAGAATATAGCTGTACCTCTGAATCACTGGGGGAGCTCTTTAGATTTACAGATTTCTGCACTCTGCTTCTGAAGATTCAGAATTTGGCTTGCAACAGGGCCTGGGAATCTGCTATGTGATATGTTCCTGAGGTGATTCAGATGGAACAGGGCCACGGACTGCCTTTGCAAGTTGAGTCCAATTCCCTCTTTCGTTTTACAGTTTGGTGTTCTGAGAACCAGCACAGGACTTGCCTAAGGTCACATGACAAGTCAGTGTAGTCTTAGCTCAGGCTTTGTGGTCTGAACCCAAAGCTCATTCTTCTTCTCCAGCTGCCTGTGGTCAAATCCTTAAAATGGACCAAGGAGGCTGGCCAAGGGAGTGACTGCGGTTTCCCCAGCGCTTGTTTTCCTTGTTGCACCTTAATAAAAACACAGGAGGGTGCTCATTTCTAGGGCTAGGAATGGTGAGAATTCAAGAGCTGGCATCCTTCATGGAAAAGGAAACTGCAGTGGGCTGTCCTGCTGGCCCTTGGGGGTTTCCCAGAAACAAAATTCCAGGCTCTAAGGACACCAGCACCAGCTATCCAGCCTGCTAAGGACACCAGCACCAGCTATCCAGCCTGCCTCAACTTCGGGCATTTTCCATTTCGGAGAATGGGCAGGGAGAGCCTTCCCTCTGTGGGAGGAGAGGCGATGGACGGGGTCCAGCTGTGACGTCAGGCGACACACCTCAGGAAGAGCCACACGTTCCAGCACCTGGCAGGAAGACGCAGCTGCTTTCAGGAACTAAGTTAAACCTCTCAAGCACTTCTCCTGAGCCTCTCCTCCCACCACCCTTCCTCCCTTACCCAGAGCTACCCGAGCTGAGGGCTTCACTGTTCCTTTTCCACTTCCCATTACTCCACCACTCGTGTCAGCATGTCAGTTAGCTTTCTTTCTCTTTTCTTTTCTCCTTTCCTTTCCCCTTTCCCCCTTTCCTTTCCCCTTTCCTCTCTCTCTCTCTCTCTCTCTCTTCTGGAAACGTATCTTGGTGTTTGGAGTCAGATGTCATGGGTTTGAATCCTAACTTGGCTTCCTATGTGCTTCTGACCTAGGTAGAGTCACCCCCTTCTCTGAGCCTCAGTTTTTACTTTTATAGAAAAGGATAATATCTATCTTTTTGGATTGTGAGGCTGAAACAAGATCATGTAGGTATTTAAAAATGTTTTCTCAGAAACACTAGATCCTGTAATTAGGGACCCGAAGGATTTGAATATATGCAGGGTGTGCAAAAGTGGGGTTACAGTTGTGAGTACACTAAATATAGGTTATTCTTTATTATTCTTTATTGTTTTATTTATTGCTTATTAACCTGCTTTTGCCCCACCCCTGAATCTCCTCCCCTCCCAGTGAAACAGTTTTGAGGCATAAAAGCACATGTGTTTCTATCACATAGGAGGGGGTGGCATTAGGATCCCGGTTTCTAAGATAAGATTCTGTCTATCTTAGACACAGCTTTTATCACAGCTTCTTGGGAAATGAATTGGAAAAGGAGCAAGACATAGCCTGGAAAGCAGACCATTACTGTTGCTAGGAAGCCACAAAGGATGGGAACATCTTATTCAAATTAGTGTACATGTAATAGAGCCCAAGGATGAAAAGCATGGTGTAGGCAGTGATGCCGGCATCTCTTTCCACAGCGAAGACTCACCCCTAAATGGAGGCAGCCGGACGGACTAGGCAATTTTGACTGTAGCAAATATTGGGGCTCCTCTGTTCTCTCTCTGGATTTCCAGTTCAGTCACCCCTCTCCCTGAAGAGGAAAGGCAGGGTCTAGGTCATTTGTTTAAGGAAGCTGGCCAGGTTTATGTCCCGTTCTGACAAGCTTGCACACCCATGGGTGCTCAGGGCGCTGTGGACCTTGTTGTACACATTAAACCACTCAGGATGGTGGTCCCGTTTCTCAGCCTGCAGGGCCACTCTTGTGAGGAAGCCAAAGCCCCGCTGAAGGTTTTGAAATGGAACTGCTTGAAGGTAACATCTCGGCTTTCTGCCCTCAGGTTTGGCAGCAGCCTGTCCCTCTCCTCAGCGCTAAGCCTGTGTGCTTTGCCAGCCCACGGGGTGAGCAGCAGGTGGCGATAGCGAGGGCCTACCCCTGTATTTTCATTGAACCGAACTGAGGCACCTAAGAGGCTGGTTGAGCTGGCAAGTCCCTCAGAAATCTTCGGGCCTTCATAACTTCCAAACTGGGAGGCTAGGTGAACTGTTTACAGTATTTCCAAATGATAAGGGAAATCACATACTTTCTCTTGATAAAGTCTCAAGTTTCTTTACTTTTGTCTGGAATTGTATCACCCAAGGTGATAATATGGTTATCGCAGGCTGTTCAGAACTTCTGGTTGGTAGTTATATGGGTCTTTGGTACTTCGCTTAAATGGGAAAATAGTTAGCAGAGGGTAGATTAAATGCTGGAAAACATTAATGTCTAACCCCCATTCCATAAACAGGGAAGTGCAGGTTAAAGAAGGAAGTGGCCTGCTAGTCATGTAGCTCCTACCGCTGGTTGGGAAACACACGGTGCCTTCCTGGAACCAGTTACTTCCCTTCATTTC